GCGTACACGTACTGTGTCGACTCGGCTGAGTTGACTCAGTTGACTTATGGATTTGATCGGTTTGACTTTGACTTTGACCAAGTTTGACTTAAGGGTATTTTGGGTATTTTGGGATTGTGATTGAGAATTGGTCATTTGGTTGGATAGGTGGCGGTTAGAGCTCAGATTCAGAGTCGAGACCTCATTAGCTTTTGTCCAGACTGTGAGGTGAGTTTTTCTCACTGTACTTATGGGTCTAAGGCACCAAAGTCGGGTCATTGGATTAGATATCATGTTATGTGATAGCATGTTATCGTGTTGTAGTGATCTGTTAGATATGTATCTTGGTATATATGATGATATTATGTTTAGTGATATGTAGATCTGTCTGATTGTCTGATGACTTATTATATGTTTATCTGTTATATGTGCACATATTTTGGTTGGTGGTTGATGCTTTACTACTATGTGTGTGGGCCAACAAACCGTGGGCATTCCAACCCGATGGTTGATTAGGCCCGAGGGTATTCCATCCCGACTATTGACTGGACCCATTATATATTGGCATTCCACCTAGGGTATTCCATCCCGAGGATGACTGGACCGGAAGGTGACTCGCATGTATACGGATCCGAAGATCAATCTAACACATCCGAAAATTTAGATACAACTTAACTAAAAAACATAACACCACCAAAAAAAAACCCAAAAGCCTGACCTTAGTAACCTACATGTCTTTATTACATCAAACCCCAACACAAGACAACTGGTTTTAACTTTAAGCAATCATTATAACAACCTCAAATGTCCAAACTTTCATCAACACGCGAAACAAATATGAAAAAAAAAAACATTCCGCACTCAATTATTTTGCAAAAAAAGTATATAAAAAAAAAAGCTCAAGTTTGTGTTCATCAAGAACGAGCATAGCGTACACAAATACGCCTGTGTATAGCTCCTCTACACGAAGGACACTCTTTCATTCCTTGTTTCTCATGAAGCTGATTGCAAGTCGTACACACAACTTGATGCGCACATGGCAGAAACACAACCGACATTTCCTCGGACAAACACATAACACATTCCCTTTCCCGTTTTACCCCTACTCCACCACCATTATAATTACCAACACCATGGGGGTTATTATTATTCATCATTTTGGAGGTGTAAAGTGTCTGTGTCTGGGATTCTTGTTGGGAATTTGAGGTTTTGATTTCGGTTAATTTACTTGCGTAGCTTCCATCAACACCACCCCTTAAAGCAGCTATTTTTACAGAATTGGATTTTAGATTCAACATGGAGATTTCCTTTTGAAGCTTTTCGATATCTTGTTTGTATCTTTGTAGATTTTTATCTGCTTTTAATCTTGTTAACTCGTTTCTTAATTTGGCTGAAGATTCAGCCTCTAGCCTTCCTATTCTATACGAATTCGCCTCTCTCACCAACTCTTCTTTTGCTTTCTCTTCCTGTTTCCATCGGCTCTGCAATTAAAAAAAAAAAAAAAAAACCAAATTCATACTTCATAGTTGGTTAAAATAAAATGAAAAATGAAAAAAACAATAAAAACGAAATACCTCAAGTTGATCTTGCTGTTGTTTAGCTACTTGAAGATCCTGTTGTAACTGTGTGAACTTGCGTTTCTCGGTTATAAGCTCCTCCTGAATCAAGCTTTTTAGCTTCTCCCATGACTGAAACTGCATAAGCGTCTTCTTCTCTCTTTTTGACACCTCTTCACAGCTGGCAGCTGACTCAGCAGCCCTTAAATTCGCAGCCTCCATCTCATGTCTCAAATTGGAATTCTCAACTTTCAGCCTACGAACAGCAGAATTAGCTCGTTCCACCTGCCCACTCGCCTTACACAAAGCATTCTCCATTTCAGAAAGCTTCTTCATTGTGTTTTCCTCTAATGTTTGTTTTTCCTTTTTTAACCTTTCCACTTCTTCTTTCTCCAATTTAAGTGATTTCAGCTCAGCTTTGTCTTTACCAAGTCTGCGTGCAGCTTGCATAACCTTCTGATTCGCCCATTCTGTCCACTCCTGTAACTGGTTCTGAAGCTCATGTACCCTTGGAACCAGTTTCATAATTGTTTCATCTTTTTTAGCATGTGAGATCCATTTGTCATATGGGATGGCTGAAAAACTAGGATTAGAAGAAACATGAACATCATTTTGTTTTGGTGGGTTTGAAAGAGATAATTCAGTTTCAGATGCAGATGCAGGAGGGTTATTATGGGTTTTTGGTAATGTAGGAGGATTGCTATTACCACAAGTCTCTGTGTTGAAATCTGAACGTTGAGGTGCCACTCCCTTGTTTATTTTCAAAGACAGGTTTTTGAGATTGATACCTGTAGATTCTGATACGGATTTTAGTTTTTTATCCAGTAGCAACCCACCAAAATTCGTGAGTTTTCCTGTTCTTGAAGACCCTTTAGAGCCATATGTACGATAGCTTTTCTCCAAATGAACAGACTTTTGTCTCAGTATTGATTCTCTTTTACTGATTCCAGTAATCTTTCTACCACTCACTTCATGGTTTTGGGATTTACATTTACTCACATGGTTCTCTTTCTCTGATGCAAATCTATTTAAAACAAAGGGAGTCTTTGGTTTAACTGGTGGGCTGCTAAAGCTAGAATTATGTCCACAAGAGGTCATTACAAGTGGTTGAGGTTCTGAAGCCGATTTATGGGGACAAAGGGAAGAATGACTTTCACTATTATTAACTTCCTTTCTTGGCTGTGTTTCTATGGGATTGGGATCAGACACATCACCAACCATATTACTACTACTACTACTACTTAAAGACTCGCTATCCATTGTGCAAGCATGAGAGACATTCATGTCAGATACCAACAAGCACCACATTGCATCCCCTGTACTGAAGAAAGGCCTGACTTCACGAACAACACACACAAGTTCAGCTAATATGTACTTCTCCATCTGTTGTAGATCTTCAAACTGATGCTCTCTTGATGAATCAACTTCTTGCCCATTTCTAAGGAAAACCAAAGTGTTGTTCACGATATTTGACACGGCATCTTTACAGCCATAACAAAGACCAGACCTCAAAACAGCATTAGTAGCAACTTCTTTCGTGTAACCGAAAGAAACTATTTTATTAATGGCACTCTTGAAAATTGTGTCCAAGTTTGCTAAAACAAGCTCTTCCAGCTGAGATTCCGTGAGATCACTCCAATCAGCATCATGGAATTCATCACTTGCTTCTATTTCTGCTCTGTTATGATTCCGCCCGGCCTCACATGTTCCTACTGATGCTGAACAAGAGAGCCCTAGATCAAGTTCAACAGGATCTGTGTTCTCATGACTGAAGCTACACATGTCACAGCCATTGAAGTTTTCAGCAGAGAACTCATAACCCAGGCATTCATTCTGAGAAGGAGAACTTGTTTTGCTTGGGTCTGTTACAGGTGGTGGATCAGCTCTAAACTTTCTCTTATTCCTACTCCCATTTTCTTGCACCATTGCAACAGCTGATACATGACTGGAACTACTACTACTATTACTACATGGTTTTGCAACAACCGACGCCATTTGCAGCTGCACAACAAAAATAATCAATGAATTTCACAACTGTCAATATGTACTAGTGTATCTGTTGTATCTAACTAAGATAATCACTCAATTGTTCTTGACAAAGACTTCAAAAACAAAAGAAAGATTCATTACGCGTGAGCTATAAACACTCATCGGATTACCGACATACATAAAAGCAGCTAAACAGATCATCAAAATTTCTGAAAACAAAAAATGAGCTGTAACTCACACTAGACGTTACCAGGAGTCGGAATTGACGAGGAAACAATTTAGGTTCTGCAACACAACAAAAGAAAAAGGTGATTTCGAATCGTCGATTACACTTTCCTCTATTGCAACGATTAATTCGATTCATCCATGTGTAAAAATGAAGAGAAAGATCAAATAATGAATTATCAACATCATCATCAAAGAGAAATCGAAGTCGGTAGGAGATCCCCAACGAGTGTGAGAGAAAATACACAGATTAAAAAATTTAGAAGCAAAATCATAAGATTGGATTGGTAATCAGATACCTTCTCACGATCGAGATTATACCGATTTCAGCTAATCGGGGTTCGAGCAAATCAAAGTTTCAATCTGTCTCTCTCCCCTCTTGTTATACTTGGAAAATTTCGCATATGTGTTTTACCTGAAAAACTTTGTTTCTTTCTCCAATAACATTTAGTCATTTACTATTTCTTCAAGTAATATTTAGAGAATATTCACAAAAATACCAAAAAAGAAGGATATTAAGTTTGATCAAAGTAATTTATAATACAAATAAAAATATTTAAGATTAAGTTGAAGGCTTAAAAGTTAAAACGGACAATATACATAAGGCGAAAGGAGTATTTCTTAAAGAATATTTAAAGAATATTCACAAAAATACCAAAAGGAAGGATATCATGACAATTTTTTTTTTTTGAAAAAAAAAACTTATCATAAAATATCTCGTTCTTTTATAAACCATATTAGGGACTTGCAGTTTTTATAACGGCTCCACTCCGAAATAACATTATATTTGCAATTGTTTAATTTTCACAAAAGTTACATCATGTGTTGCAAAAATGATATCAATTCGCAAATATGATGTTACTTTTACAAAAGAAAATCGTCAAATTTATTTTTAAAGATCTTTCCAATCACAATATTAAGATGACAATGTAGAAAAAATTTAAATATAATTACCATATTAAAAATCAATGCATTAATTTTGTTATGTGATACCATGCTTTACTTCGAATAATGTGCATCATGTGGCGTTACATAACGAAAATAAAAACATTCATAATACCTCTGAAGACAAGGTCGCAGGCTCGTATCGGATTAATGATGTGATAATTTTCGTCTTCAACATATAATATGAATACATAATATCAGTTGGTGTCCTTATATAGTTTTTTTTATAAAGATATTTCTATCACAAAATTGAGGAAGACAATTACGAAAAGTTTGAAATAGAATCACATATGGTAAAATCTAAAACCAGAGTTCATATGTTTTCACATAATTTCGTTCGTATGCCCGTGTTCTTGCAAATGGTTTACTTTATGCTCTTAAAAGTGTTTTAGTTGTATGCTACTTAGGCTAAACATTAGTTGGGTAAATAGTAAACCAAAAGAATATGTCACTTGGGCCTTGGGTTAATGTTCTTAGCTTTTTCTGGAAGGTCTAATGGACCACATTACTTATGTCGTCGAAGTGGCTTAAAGCCCAAAGAAATGCCTAAGCAAAAACATGTCAACATTCATCACTGGAAGTTTGGAAGTTAGAACCACCATAAAACCTAATTAATAAATAAGACATACATATACATATTTTAGACATGTAAACTCAACAGATACAGGTGGCAAGGAGCGATGGTGATTGGTGTTGTTGTAGCAGTGGGTGATGGTGGAGTAAAATCTTGAAAGAAATCATCGGAAATAGAACTGAAGTTGGCATAGTGAAGGTTACCTCAGGGTTCGTAGTTGTAGGAGTGGCTACGACGATAGGTTGCGAAGTCCGCTGCAGTATCGTTATGTTCGTGTTGGACTCGCTCTAAACTGCGAATGGCCGAGACGGTTGGATTGCGAATCCTCCTCATCGCTTGAGTAGGAGTCCTAGGTTTGTGAGCAACTCGCTTCACCTTTTTCTTGGGAGTCTGGGCAGGTTCGGAGGTCCTGCCTTTGGTTTTCTTTTACCTCCCTTTCTTTGGCTTATCAGCCTCCTCAAGAACCTTTCGCACTTCAGAGGTCATTGGACGTGGACCAGAAGCCGGTAGACTGCGATAGGCTCGAATAACTTCACTCGCAACTGGGACGTTACGAAGCATCGTCTCTGGGATAGATCCGATGAAGGTAAATCGTGAAGTATCTGACAAAATATGTGTTGTGGTTGGAAAACCTGAATGTTAGCCATACTCGAATCCTGTATCACGGAATGTGGAGCGGTCGATAGCCCTCTGAACAATGATTGTCCAAAAACGTGCACAGAGATCTCATTGTGTCGTGTTAAAGAAAGGTGTACTCTGGACCAGTTGAGTCAAAGCACTGTCCCGTAGTCGAGATTAACTCCGGGTAAACACCATACATGATTGTCATGAACATATTACTGGCACAGTTGGATCCAGTTACCATTAGAAAGCTTTTGAAAATAAGGGTAAACATACTTACACCGTTACATTTGACACACGGCTTTTGAATTTCCAGAGTGAAGGAAGGAACAGTCCACACTGGCGGTAGTTAGGCTTCTTGAATTGGAGACAGCGGCAGGTATTCACATATCCCATATTGTAAACATCTCCAGAATTGCAGAGTTGGAGATAGTCCGGATCAACTAAGTTACGACCTTGAGAAGCCCAGCAGGCTACAGAACCTGGACTTAGTGATGTGGGTTTTCTGGTTATCGATTTCAAAGGTAATCTTCTCTTCCCCTGATTGGTAGCTTGATGTCGAATACGCCTTGGACAGATGAACCAAGGGTACGTTCTCAGTCTTTGTCAGAGCGATAACCAGTGGAGAATAGCGTAGGCATTCAATGAGTGGTTGAAGAAAGGCGTCGTACTTGGATGGCTCAAGGTCCAGGATGAGATCCTGGTTAGCCTTGATGTTGAGCAATGTTGATTGTGCCATTTGTTCAGCGATTGAAGGGGTTTCAGATGAGGCTGCCATTGTTGCTTGGTGAAGCATCGAAATCTTTTTATACCATTTGATAAGTGAGAGAAATCTGGCGATAGGTTATACCAAATCACTGAAAAGTCGCCTAAAAAGACGTGAGTGACAGCTGTGACATCAGGTGGCGTGTGTCAGGCGGCGTGACATTAGGCGTCAATTTCAAACTTCACGCGCCTAAATTCAAATCTTATCCCTTTAATAACATCGTTTCATTTAAATTTGCTTACTTTCGCAATTGATCACCAATTACTATACTCTGAGCTTGAAAGTAACCATTAGGACAACGAACCAGATTTTTGAAATCACAAGGATCTTCGTGCAAAAGTGTGCCAAAGATAAAGAAATAAAAACAAGTTTTCTAAGGGATTCTAGTGATGTCATTAAAGACACAAAGCAGATGAATCCCGGGCAACGATCTCTTCCTTCGCAGTCAAGAGAGACTTTGAAGTACTTGTTGTGGGTCCCGTTGAATTACGATCATCTGTTTGTGGGAGAACAGTGAAAGGCTTCTTTTTAATAAGGAAAAAGGGGTAGCTTCCTCTTCAACTAAGCCCGAAACTCAATATAAGTCTGAACGTTCATATGAAGTACATGTCTGACCAGTGTAGCCATAAATTTACTTGTTACGATACGCGGAGCCGTGTCGGTTTGTCGCAACACTTCGACGGGTCATAACTTCTTCGTTATAAGTCGAATTTCAGCATTCTTTATATGTACTCCTTGTCACATATACTATACTTTGGTTAAGATTATATATTCTAAATAATCTGTGACATCCCCATTTTTCACGGCCAGAAAAGACCGATTTGTTTAGCTTTATTTTGAAATCAGAGTAACCTTTAAAGAAAAGAGTTGCGGAATTTGTTCCCAGAAAAACATGATAATACGTTATCAAAGCATTTCCGAAGAAATGTATTTTTTATCCATTTTAAATATTTGGGATTTAATCGTCAATACATAAACATAACATAAACAGAACTTACATTCATTTACACTAGTGATCTACATCTCTTTTAAATCACTCAGTGTAAAGTAGCTTCATATCAACACCTGTGATACAATAAGCTTGAGTGGGTCAGGTTGGGAAACCTGGTGAGTACATAGGATTTTCAACCCACAATAATATAATTATTATATAAACATCAAACAATCAACCCAATTACCCATCCCCATTATCTTCTTTACTCTTAAGGATCTACCCTAAGATTCAGCTATTCCTCGTTCATTCATTCCTAAGGAATATCCTAAGGAATCGGCAACTAAGTCTACATAGTCGCCAGGTTTATCTCGTTATTGACAGTATCGTTTCGAGAGTCCACTCGTAATACTGTCAATGGGTTTTAGAGTACACCGGGTGAACACATCGTTCACAACACCTACAGGTTGCGAGTCGGCTAGTGTTCCACTAGACTGTCTAGAATGGTCTGTGGTTGTCATCCATACTCTGCTAGATGACGGGGCCATTGCTTGGGTCATCGTTTGGCTCATCGTTTTGGTTCATCGCGTTGGTGCTCATCATTTGGCTCATCGTTTGGCTCATCGCTTTGGCTCACCGTTTTGGCTCATCGCTTAGGTCACCGCTTCGCACCATATTTTATCACTCATATATCATCGCTCATCATTCATCTCATCTTTCATCGCTCATCATTTATCTCATCTTTCATCGCTCATCATTTATCTCACCTCTAATCTACCCATGTTTTACCCAACACATTTTGTAGATATAAAATACATACAGTTTAGATCGTTTAAAACATGTATAAAACGTTTCATCCAGCATAGAAAGCAAGTATTCAGACGGTATACACACATAGCACGTAATTTATATAAATACTTCATACTATGTATAAGATGAAAGTAACTATGCACTCACTTGTTAAGGTGGTGATTCCAAATTTGGGCAGCGCTTCGCTTCTAACGATTCTATTTTCCTTCGATGACCTAACTTATTATCGCTAAGTTTTAGTCTAATTTTATTGCGACTAATTATTAGTCTAGATTCATCATTAAATCAAAGTCTACTTTCATGATCAATCAAGTAAGGAACAACCAGGTAGGATCATATCGTAGGTAGGTCTGTTTGGTATACGAAGTATACTGTTTGGAAATCCCACTTTAAATACCTCACTAAAATCACAGCCTAGACATATTCTCGTAAGTAAAATCAATCAGTATAAACGACTTTGAATCACTGATAAATCTTATTTCTAGGTTCATAATAACGATATTATATTTAAATATAAGCTATATTTAAATTGTGGTAGGCTTATTTCAGTTACAGCAGGGTTGTATTAAAAAACCGGGCTCCGCTGGAACAGAGCTTCTGAGCCGAAAAGCTCTTTTTTTCTCGGAGCCTTCATGCGCTCCCGGCATTTCTTCTAGCGCTAGGGAATTTCCTAGGCTTGTGGGGGGGTGGGGGGTTTAGGGAGTCTAGAGAGAAGTTAGAGAGAGAAAGAAAGGCTTATGGTGTGAAGAAAATATGAAGAGTTCATCTCTTATTTATAGGGTTTTTTCTCGTAGAGTAGGCCCTAAGTTTCGTCTGTATCTTCCACGTACGGGATCTGTTTTCTACGTTC